TAATCTGTGTTTACATTAAAATCTAACTCACGTGTTTGACTCAGCACAACGAGCAGCGCTACGCGAAGCTATTGTGCTATTATTTCGGATCCTTGTAGCCGCCCTCTACAACAAACTTTTTAGCAAAACGCACGCGCAACCCGGACCGTAATGGGCCGAGACCCACTGACTCTATATAATCTCGATTATAATATCACGTCACTGATTACTATTATCACTGGATATATATATATATAATATATATCATATAATATAATATATATATACAGTATATAATATATGCTACATACGTATGATATATACTGCATAACGATATAGTATATATATGATATACGTAAACTGATACGTATATACACGTATCATATATATATATATATTATATTATGTATATATATATATTATATATAATAATTATATATATATATATATGTATATACGTATCATATACGTATATATACGTTACATATATGCATACATACGTATATATGTATGCATACATATATAATATATCCTGATTTATATATGAAGATCAACTGATCTGCTATAATATAATCTCGATTATAATTTCGATTATATTATAATAATAATATATTATAATGCTATAAGTAATTATATATAATTTAATAATAATATATAATAAATAATTATTATATATATATTATATTATAATCTCGAATTATATTACTGAGAGATCAGTTGGCGCCGTAACCGCATGTATAATCAGGCCCGTAGCCAGCTTTATTATTAGAGGCCGGCGTTCGTTTTCAATGTATGGCAATTTTGCTCGCGTAGGGGCGCTGTACACGATTTGTACCAAGGGGGGGTCTAACGTAACCCAAAGTGCGGAGCACGCGGAAGGGGCGGTCTGGGGAATTCCCAGAAATTTTTTAAAATTAGACCCCCTCAGATGCGTTTTTTCGTGCCGCGAGCAAGGTGGGGTCCGAGGACTGCCCTGCGACCCCCCCCCCCCTGTACACGCGCGCCTGCTCGGCGCCGAAGCACCAGGCCGGGGAGCCAAGCGACCGAGCGGGGGAGGGTGTAGGAGGGGGGTATTCACTGTCACCCTCCCGCACGGATGGAGGAATTTTGCAATTATTACACTAAAAGGGAGCACCTGAGCGTGAAATTCTTGCAAATTTTCAACAAATATTTTTTTTGGATTGGGGGGGGGCTCGGGGGGGGGGGTTCGTTCGAACCCCCGAACCCCCCCTGGCTACGGGCCTGTAAATGTTACTCTTTACTTTAGGTCTATAACTTAATTTACTCTTAAAACGTGTATGTTTCCTAATCCTAGAATTAGAGAATTAGATTTGTAACCTTATCACATCATTGTAAGGGACACACGCATGCACTCACGCACGATCACACACGCGTGAATCTGATTGTGGTGGCTAAGAAATTCATTCTAGGACCACAGACCGTAATGTTTCATCTTATCTTACGAGTCCAGAGACAATGCAAATAGATAAAATTGGCAATGATTTAAATTTTATATAATACGCGCGAATCTTCAAACAGTGCACCGTTCCAGTGTTTTTACGTACCGATAAGACAGTGCGTGTGTAATCCTTGTTTCCTAACAAAAAATTCACAATTATTTAATATTATTTTTATAATTTAATAGCAAAAAACGTACAATAACGAATAAAATAAGAATCTATTATAGTGAGTGCTGCAAATATAACACGCGTAGAAAATTTACTTGATAAGCTGTAGTTAGCGGCTACGTTGGCCAGTGTTACCACTGCTGAGGGTTTTTACCACAGAGATTTTTTAAACTTTAATCTGGGGTTCTGGGGGGTTTTCTTAGAAATCTCGAGTTTAATTCCTGCAAAATCCTGCAGGTCATTCAATTACTATACATTTAATTCCCGTCGTCCTCATGGAATCACTATGCTGGAACCAGAAGCGTCATAAGCCTAGCCATAGCAATCGGGAACCCTGGGACCATTCAACAGAATAGCAGAATTTCTAGGAATGAAGGAAAGAGCCAAATGGGTTTTCCGATTGCTAACCATAGCTGACCAAGCTTTTTTCAATAAAAGGCTTTAAAGGCGTCATCCAGTGACCCAGACTACATTACAACAGAAATCAACCACGTGACCTCCTTATTCGGCTTAGCATAGGCTTAGCAACCTGGTTCAGCAGTCAGAGACAAGGCCTTGGTCCTGGACTCACCACTGGCGTGGCGGACAGTAATGTGCTAATCAAATCAATGTATACAATGGTCAATGGTGCAAGATTCAAGACCGTATTTACAGAGCTTGTGTGTTGGTGTGACAGTACCGGCCTTGACATAACATCACCAAGTGGCACAAGGTTCTCTGTATCAATTATCATTTCCCCATTTGGCCATTTCTCATGATTTCTCATTGCGTATTTCTGTAGTTGATAGAATCACAGTGGGCACCCCACTAGGCAACACCGATAGTTTCACTATTAGCAAAGTAGTAAGGCAAGGAACAGTATTGGGTCCGATCATGTGCTGTACCACTCTGGACCAAATAAACAGTGGAGGATATGGCTCCCTAGTAGATGTATATCAAAGTACCACAAAAATACCACCGTTGTTATATATAGATGATCTACTGGGAATAGGGAACCTAAACATGGTACAGAAAATAGCACATTCATGCAACTTACTTGCAACAGAAAAAATTATAACATTCAATATGGACAAGACAAATATAATAAATATTAAATTTTCGCCTCATAGAAACATTAATACTGAAAAAAAGAAAAAATTTATTTGGGTAGAACAGAGATAAAACATTGTACTAAACAGGGGCGTTCCCCCCTGAGATTTAAAAAAAAAAGAGAGAAAAAAAGAATAGCCAAAAAGTATGGTTGCAAACATACAAAAACACGTGAAATTGTGAGAAATTGCAATTCTTACTTGTGTTTTAATACATGTATTATTACTATAGTAACCTATAACTGTGTACACTCTCTGAAAAGTCATGAAAAGTGTTTTAAATCCTAACTTGTAGGGTTGAGTCTAGGGTTGAGATAGTGTTATCAGACATGAGAATATGGCCCACAGTATGCCTCAGATTGCAGGAAAATGGTATAAATATTTCAAGCTTTTCTGGGGGGCATGCCCCCAGACCCCCCTAGCACTGGCATGCCTATGGCACGCGGGCCTGGCTGCGGCAGCCAAGGTTAATTTCGCCCCCGGCTATCGCCAATCATCCCCCCACTCCTCGGTACGGACTTCCCGTCTCCAGTAATACCTAAGGCCAATGGGGACGTAAAAGAACCACTGAGGGCGCAAAAAAACTCTGGCTGTGACCACCCACAGTGCCTTTTCGGCTAAAAAAAACTAAACTACCTGGCTTTACCCAAGCTAGGTCACACCCCATGGCTAGCTATATAGCCCAAGCTATGGCAATCAAGCAACAAGATTTCTCTGCGGCCGTCTCAGCTAAGCTGTGCCGTCGATCAACAGGACTTCTTGCCAAGGGACGCTATCCTGCGCCATATAGCATCATCATCGTAGGCGTAGCCTCGCAGTTTAATATATAGGGGCCTATATATATATATTCTGTGTAATGCCCGTTTCGGTCTCCTAGGCAATTATTATTATTATTATCATGCACTCATGTAATTTCACTCTAGGTTCTACAGTAGTTCTACTGTGAAATTGCCTAATTGGTTTGGTTTAGTTATTGTTAGAACCTCCCCCATCATATACCTGCCTCTGTCTATTCTCTCCTTTCTCATATCTATGTAGTCACCGTTGTTATTAAAAATGTCTCCTAGATATTTATATTTAGTACCAAAGGCGTAAATCCCGGGGGGATGGGGGAATGCATCCCCCTGCTCTTGAAGGAGGGAGGATGGCCTGTACAAATAAACGCCATTTTACGTAGTCATCCGAGCCACGGGAGATTCACAGTCTCCAATGTTGAGAGCCAGGTTTTTACACCTTGAGAAAATTCACTGCCCCGGCCAGGGTTTGAACTCACAGCCTTCAGTGAACAGTGTACGAGGCCTAACCACTGGGCCACGAAGGCTCTAAGTGCATGATACTCCCATCTATATTAAATAATGGTGAAACTTAGACAACCCTAACAAAAAAGGAAATACAATTATTGGAAAGCTTTCAAAATGATTGCTTAAGGAGAATACTAGGTGCACATAGTAAAACTCCACTAATCGCTCTAAGAGTTGAGCTAGGTATAATACCAATTCTTGACAAAATCTATTATAAAAGATTAATGTTATTACAATACATAATAAATTTAGAGCAAGAACGTTTAATGAGAAGAATGTTGTTGCAGCAATTAAAATATGGGGAAAAAAATTGGGCAAATGAAATCATAGACAAAATTGATGAATATAAATTAAACATGTTATTCTTATCTATTGGCGCCTTATCAAAAATGAGATAGAAAAAGATGGTAAAAGAGGCCATTCTAAAAAAACGTGATAGAAAGGGACGAAGGGGTTGGAGCAACAAAAACAAAATTGAAAATGATTAATATTAATAATTATGGATTAAAGAATTATAATATGACGTCAATGTCCTATGAGGATTCTTGTTTTGTCGATCATGATAGATTTAAACGATTACTTTAAAAATAAGCACACTAATGACGGGTGTGACTTGTGTAGTGGGGAAGAAAAGGAAGACTTGTTACATCTATATAATGGCCTTGAATATGGGGATATAAATAAAAGGGAGTCCATTAAAGACTGGAAATGTGACGATCCCAAGTTACTTAAAATTGCTTCCGACCACGTGAGGAAATTACTAAAATATAGGGATTAGAGAATAAGATTAGCAGAATTAAATGCTGGATGTACAAATTAATGAAAATGATGAGATGAAAGTTTACATTCTCAGAATATCCTCGCACCTTCACCAGAAGTGATGCCTTGTGAAATACAAGAGTGGGACCATGTACGATACGATACGATACGATACAACCCAATATCGATACTGTACTATACGACAGTGCTACAGTCTGGCGGATAAATTGACGAATTTCAAAGATTGGCTTTTCGCAGCGCCTATGAGACTAGCGGAAAAAACATTTTTACGATGCATTTACAACTAGCAGTGCAGTAACTGGCTTGTTCTTGCTAAAGTTATTCATAAATACCGCTATGATGATTCTCGATCACTTTGAAGAGCTGATAGAAGCGTTTAGAGGAAGTTTCCCCGTACATTTATTGGTTTTCATTTCGCTGTTTATTATCATTTCGCCCGCCAGCCCTGTGCACGCTGCTCACGAGTTCGCCGTGTACCGCATGCAACAGTATGATCTTCAGGGTAGACCCTATGGTAAGCACTCATTCGTATAGGCCTACACAGGTTCGTAGTACCTCATCCACAATTTAAAAATTCGAAAAGCCTTAAAAAAACGGTTTTTTAGTGAGGGTGCTTCGGTTTGCCCTTGTTCTAGATCAGGGGTTCCAACCTTTTGACTCCCGTACGCCCTACCCCTATTTTTTACGCTGTGGCTATATGCCCGGCAGCCGGGCACGGTCTTCGTTTTCCTAAATGCCGGCAGTTCTTACCCTAACTCTAATCTTAACCCTAAACCTAACAAAAACCCTAACTCTAGCCCTAAACCTAACCCTAACCCTAACCCTAATCCTAAATCTAACCCTAACCCTTGTTTACTTGAGATAACGCTAAAAATTAAAACTGCCGGGCATTTAGGAAATCGAAGACCGTGCCCGGCAGCCGTCAGATATACGCCGGCTGCCGGGCATATAGCCACTGTGTATTTTTTACGCTATCTCCTCGTACCCCTTCGCCCACCATAAGCAAAATGAAGAACCAACACTGATGTGGTGTCATGAATATTTTGACATCGTGTTTATGTTTTATTAACGCAATGCACTCGCACGGCGTCGAGTGACTGTAAATTTCCACACTCAACTCGCATTGTTCTTGATTGTTTGCTTGGACACAGAGCGTCATTGAAGAGAGCGTTCACACGACGTTTGATCGATCAGTTCTTGGACATGCCTCTCTATTGGACATGCCTTATGCGAGCTGCGAGCTGAGAAAAAAATCCAACGCGTCCAAGCGAACAATCAAGCGAACAATGCGAATTGAGTGTGGAGATTTACACAGCCACTCACACACGCTGTTCAATCTTTCACACGTGGAAGAAAATATCAAACACGTTACACGTGTGATATTTTCCACACGACGCAGATCGAGGGATTTTGCATGCGCACACGCTGTGGAACTCACGTGGACGATGGCGCAGCAAGTTCCACAGCGTGTGGGGCGGGCTTTACACGATTTTTGTGGACTGGGGACTAGACCTCGACCGAAAACCATGACTTGTTGGCACTGTTGACAGAGATGCCTGAATCACCCGCTTATTATTATATAGCACTACTTTTTTAAATTGTCTAAGAGGCTTCCCAGGTACCCCCTGTGTTGTTCGCTGGTACCCCCATGGCGTACTAGTACCCCTGGTTGGGAACCAGGGTTCTAGATGATTATCATGGCCAGGTGAAGATTGGCATTCCTTCTTGCTTGATGAAGGCTGAAGCCTGTTCTATGCACTCAATCATCTGAGCGTGATCATTCAATACATTGCTTTCGACATGTACCATTTAAGGATACTTTTACGTTTACGGTTTAGCTTCTTTGTTTCTGTCTTTCCGTATTGAAATTCTCTCCCTTCGACTTTAGTAAATTGCAAATTTGCGGCTTTTTCCACTGCGATCTGCAGTGTTGATCTGTCGATTTGTCTCTCCGTCTTCGTTATAGTCCCTTGGACTTTTGAAGAATATTCTTTATGAGGTATGAGGTTATTCCCTCATATCAATATCATGCTGGGCAGGTTCCAGAGAATAGCCCAGAACTAGTAGTAGTAGGCTGGTTAGAGTTAATGGTAGCCTAGTAGCCAGATTCAATAATTAAGATCTGTTACACTCAACATCAGAGACTACAGTGGGTAGTAGGAGTCTATTTGCTCATTGATTTAGCAATACTAATATTATTATTATTAGTTTTTACTCTCTGGCATTGGTATAGTCTCTTGGATTTTGAAGACCAATTCTAACGATCTGAGGAGGCAATGCTGTCTAGCTAATTCAGACACTGTGGCAGCAACATTCAACAACTCTAATGATGTAATGTTGTAATATGTGAATTTTTTAGGCTGTAGGAATGCACTAGTCAATGTAGAGGCACGAAGCATCGACGCAAAGTCCATAACACGGCGGTGTCTTGTGACATCGCTACAGGACTTTGCTGCAGACAAGTACAAGTATGCTCAGGAGCAAAATGCTGCAGGCCTTCTTGTTCTCCTGCCACAGAATCTGTCGTCTCTGTCATCAGAGGAGCAAGATGTGCGTTAATTATTCACATTTCAAGAGAACAATAGTCTATCTCTAATGCTGTGTTTAAAAGACGTTATAAACAAATTACTGTATCTGGAAACATTTCATTATCATGGGATTGGCGTACTGTGTCAATGTAATATGATGATAAGATGTATTACATTCATGCTAAATATCCATTTTAATATTCCCAACAAATGCAATCAGTAATTTCTTTATCATTTAATCAGGGAGGGTTTTACCCACACAATATATATATGTCAAATAAAATTGTTTGACGAGTGCAGTAATGCTTCAGTGGATTCATAGTGTTCTCATTAGAAATGTTGTTATTTCTAACCACATAGTGATGACCACCAACTACTATTACAGCGCCTGCTTCAGCTAGAGCAAGACTTAATGGATGAAGAAACCAGCATGCCTGTCTATTTCACCACAGTCACTGACGAGCTGTCAGATATGTTCAGCGACCTCAAGCGTGGTGCGGGACACGGCAGACAGGCGACTGCTGTCGAGGGTACGGTATCTATTGGGAAAAACGTATATTTGTTGTACAAGTGTAACTCTGATGTCATAGAGATGTTTATGTTTCTTCATGTCATAAAAATGGTGGGGTGTGTTGCAGGGGAAAAATTGAATTTCTTTCACGGGAGCTCTTTTTCAAAAGTCTGGAAAAAATAGCTCTTGTCAAAAATATTACGGGAGCTATTTTGAGCCTCACGGGAGCGATTTCGGAGGTTTGAAGAGCGAATCGCTTATCGCTCCCGTGTATTTTTTACCCTGGTGTGTTGCTCTATCCCATAGAGATGCTGAGGCATGTTGCTCTGTTTTATAGAGATGCTGAGTGCTGTGACAGGAAATGGCTTTCAGCTTGTATTCAGTGGGCAGCAGGCAAAAGCACAACCTGACTTTCAAGTGTTTAACATACAGGTACATATATACATGATGTATTATCCTTCATCTCGAATCTGTTCGTTGAATAGGCTGCGACACACAAATGTGTTAAACCAATGAAAAATTTCCCTCAATTCTGATGTATATATATATATATATATATATATATGTATATATATATATATAAGCTGTTCCATCTCTAAAATTGTCATATCATTGGACAAGGTTATCTATTAATATGTGTTACTTGGCAGGGAAAGTTGTCTGGCCTTGGAATAGAGGAAAGGCTGCCTACCATTGCTATAATAGCTCATTATGATTCGTATGGAGTAGCGCCAGTAAGTGTCGCGTCTTTCTTTTCACTAATGTGTCTGTTACATTTGTCTACATTTTGAGATAGGTACTAGTCTATAACAATTTGTGTTACGTAACTACGTGCACTTGCTTTGTGGGAGCGTTTGAGAATTCCATTTTTGCAAATCTCAAGGTAGCAGGCACATGTTCGCTATTCACTTACTATTTTACAACAAACTTGTAGTAATTTTTTATGCTGAAGTAATCAGCATTCAGTAGTCATGTGGGGGTCGACTCGAAAGCCTAGTGCTACTTTGACCCTGACAGCACTCATTTGTTAGTAAGTTCACTATTCTTTTTTATTTATACTCTCACGTTATACGTAACCTATCATACACTTGCTGTTGTAACTAAGTTATGTGCTAATTAAAGAAACTGGATCAGCAATATTAAACAGCCTGAATGTAGTGTATTTGCTTGTGGAATACAGGGGCTAGCTACTGGTGTGGACTCTAATGGAAGTGGTGTTATAGCCTTGCTAGAAATTGCCAGGCTATTTGGCAGGTTTTATGCCAATGCGAAGACACATGCCAAGTAAGTTGAAATTAATGCATTAGATTAGATAAGATTAATGATAAGAACGCGAGCATGCAATTAAAATGTCTTTAGTATTTTTTTGTTTGGAAGCATGTACATGTAATTTATTATGCAACTGAAATTTATATAAAATTGTACCATGTAATGACATATATCACATAAGATCATATTTATTCACTTTTGTATTTGCAGATATAATCTGCTGTTCCTGCTATCTGGGGCAGGCAAATTCAACTACCAGGGAACAAAGCACTGGATTGAAGAGCACATTGACACTGGTGCCACAGGTATGTTAAAAATAATATTTCAGAGAGATGATGGTAAAATGTGTCCTCGATTTATTGTAATTCTTGTTTCTTCACACTCGACTTACACACAGGGGTTAACTCTGTTAATGGAAATGTTGAATCCACAAAAAGCATTATTTGGCATGGATGTTAGGGTTAAATTTACTTATAGTGATATGTTAGAAACAGACAGTGCTCTTGAGTGATAAAGAAGAACCTGGAAACTTTCCTGGAACCTGGAAAAAATTTTCAGACAGCTTTGTTATTTAAAACTGGCTTACATATTAGCCACTCTTTGCAAAATTTTAAAGGTTTCAATTCACTTGGAACAGCATGTTAACAATAGCATTACTTTTACCAAAATCATAGAGAGAAAAAAAGTGAATACAAACATGGATGCGCACTAATTATCGTCAGCACTCCATCATACTGATGAGGGTAGCTTCTCCGGTGCAAAGCAGTAACTGCATTTAATTACCAGAAATCATGTTATACGGTTAACGTCTGTGTACGCACACTTGCAAACACATGGTATACAATGAGCAGAATAAATGCACAGTAGCAATTGCTCATCAACGTGACCCGTGAGGATGAAGTTTGCATGTGGTAATGTTTCCTTCCTGTGCTTTGCTTCTGGCCTCGTGCTTTAATCTCTGTGATGGCGTGATTGCTTGTGTCTGCAGAGGAGGCTACGCTTCTGTCTGACATTTCGTATGCACTCTGCCTCGACACCATCGGCAGCGGCGCCGGTCTCTCTCTACACGTGTCCAAACCACCTAAAGAAGGCAGCCCAATAGACCTGCTGATGAAGGTACAATGGAAATGCAGATATGTGTATGATAGAGAGGTCTGTGGTATAGACACAGATATATGTATGATAGAGAGGTCTGTGATATAGGCACATATATGGATATGATAGAGAGGTCTGTGATATAGGCATACATATAGGTATGATAGAGAGGTTAGATGTTATATGCACAGATATAGGTATGATAGAGAGGTTAGATGTTATATGCACAGATATAGGTATGATAGAGAGGTTAGATGTTATATGCACAGATATAGGTATGATAGAGAGGTCTGTGATATAGGTATGATATATAGGTTTGTGATGTAGGTGCAGATATAGGTATGATAGAAAGGTCTATGTTATAGCCACACACTACAGGGTTCCCCCTAAAAATTTCAAAGTCAAATCGTTCATGCATGGATGGGGAGGGCCTGGGAAGGGGTTGTATCAATTGGAGTCAGTTATGCATATCATAAGTGGCCCAAATATACAGGTAAACCCAATCAGTTTAGTATAGTAATAGTAAACCCAACACAGCATGACAGGTAGATTATCAAAAGTATACACTGCTAAAAAATCAAGGCATGTCTATTAGGTAATTAGGAATGCTGGTTAATTTATGTGATGTTGCAAATTAGGCTCAGCTTTGAAGGTATCTGTTGGACATGACGTGCGCTAAACGTCTAGGGAGAACCCCAGGTATGTGAGAGAAGTCTGTGATATGGGCAATGATAGTGGTATGATATAGGTGTGTACGTATGATGATAGTTATCATATATACCATCAGTATTTAAACTTGGACCCTCGTGTGCTTCTTGGGTCGTTTCACAGAGCCTGCAGGACTTGATGCAGCGCCACGCCCCGACAAAGCAGATCAGTCTCGTTCACAAGAAGATTAACCTCGCCGACGAGTTTCTCGCGTGGGAGCACGAGCGCTTCAGCATCCGCCGTCTGCCCGCGATGACGCTCTCCAGCCTCCAGCGCCATGACGACCCACGCAGGAGCACGATCCTCGACACGAGGTGCGGAGAGGGGCCTGCATGACGGGAGGGCGGGCAGGTTAACCTGCGCTTGTGGGGATGGGGGAATGTAGCTATCCGAGGGTAACGACAGCCAGGAAGGTTTGTTTTTGCGTGGGGGTTTACATGTGAAATAGGATGGACAGCATTGTGTGTAAACTCTCTAGGTATGGTGGTGGGTATTTAGTAGTGATGGGTATCGGCAAAATTTTTGTATCGCGATATATCGCGATACGGCATAACCGTATCGTGATACGTATTGCGATATATTATTACTCATTGAGTAATCGGAGTCATCTTTACCTGTTGCTGATATCATGAAAAACAGTGTCAAACGTTCAGAGTCAGACTGAGCTTTAATAATACTCAACACAACAATTCAAACAAGCAGGCTATCTTATTGTGTGTGTGTGTGTGTGCGTGTGCGTGTGCATGTGCGCGCGTGTGTGTGTGTGTGTGCAACTTGCAACTGTGCATGCGAGTGTTTGTACATAAGCGGGGACGGGTGCATGTGTGTGTAGTGTATATATATCTGTGTTCACTTTTCTGCGAATTTGAGCGGTATTTCACAAAGAATGAATGGACAACACAGGCTGTATCATTCAAATTACGGATATTTCCGACCATTAAACTGTGGAAATTGCTGACAGTATCCCGCACCGCTGCGGGGGGCGCTGGGGGGAATCGGTACGGCGAGAATGTATCGCGATACGTATTATTTTGAGTTTGTACCGCGATATACCGGTATACCGATAATACCGCACACCACTAGTATTTAGGTGAATGTCTGTTTTTAGAGTTAGACGCACTGTTGTGCTTATAAATTTTGCGCATAGTGGTGAGTGCTAGGAAATGTAGCGCATCGAGTGTAATCAATGATATTGGCTGGTTGTTGTTATTGTTGTTGTTGTTGTTATTGTCCTCGTAGATATTGCTGTTGTTGTTGTTGTTGTTGTTGTCATCATAGTCGTTATCATCGTCGTTGAAGTTATTATTTTTGTCGTTGTTGTTGTTGTTGTTGTTGCTGCTGCTTGGCTGCTCGTGACGTAACGTATCCTTGATGCATCCTGATGTTTGCAGAGACGGGGCGTCAGTGTCACTGCTGGCCGACAACATCAGGATGATCGTCGAATCGCTTGCACGGCACATCTACGGCAAGACGAACGACTCCGCCCCACTGGAGGTATTCAGCGAAGATCAAGTAAGTCCGCGCCAAGCATGTCCGAGCCGTGCATGCCTGCATCATACGTTTGCCTCACGCACACCCTCGCCACCCACGTACACACGCCGCACGCATGCCCGCAGGCGGCAGCACGCACGCCTGCCCCTCACCCACCTGCATCAAGCACGCCCGCGCCGCGCCCGCCAGAGCTATGACTGCTCATTACTTTGCAGGGCCAATCACGCACGCACGTCGCTTTGCAGGGTCAGTCACGCAACCCTGCGCCATGCACGACCGTCGCTTACAGGGCCAGGCACGCTGCATAAGTGGGGGGGTGCATGGGCATGACGACGATCGGGAGCCAAAGTTTTGCTTGTGAGGCGATTGTTCTTGTGACTCGCAACTCGATCGAGGAGCGTTCAATTCGCGTGCGCGGGTCATACGTCACGTTCACACAGATGAGAGTTGTTGGTGAAATACCATGGGTTATGCCGGCCGTCTGTTCGTCTATTGTGTGTTCAGAGGCTCCCCGTTCTTGTGTTATTACTACTGTCACTGCAACATACTTCTGTTCGTCTGAAAGGTGACTACAGGTGGCACTACCGTGGTGGTTGCTAATACTGGTAGGCGTTTGAGTATTATTTTTTTGTGGGCGATCATCGCACCTTGTATGAGTAGAGGTATAAGATATGAAGCTTCATGCAATTCAACAGGGTAATTGTGACGGTTATGAAATACTTGTTGCAGAACATTGAGATGAGTGTTAAAGGATGGCTGGAATTTCTGTCGTCAAAACCTAGAGCCCAGCAACTAATAACAAAAGACCATCCGATACTGACAAGTCTTTTAGCTGCAATGTCTAGACATCTTAGCGATGTTCAACTAATACCATTCACTGCTGAAAAACGGTAAGCTGAAAGAGGAAAATGCTTTATCAAATGATTGTTAAAACATTTTAGAAATTAGTGTATATAATACTTGAGATTACTAAGTTGACTTTGTGTGAAAACGGTGTCTTAGTCATATAAGAGTCGCTACCTTGACTAATTTATTTCATGTTTTTCTCTATTCTATAGTAACTATGGTAGAATAAATGTTTGTAGTTTTCCTAACAATGGATTGGAATTTTTTTGAAACCTAATATATTGTGTGATGTTACCTTTTGTGTTTCAGCGATCCAGAATTTGTATTCTACAGTGGAATATCAGGAGTAATGGCATCCTACAGGTACGAACCTATCTACAGAGAGACAGACATAGACAATGAACGAGAGAGTAAGAGTAAGAGAGAGAGAGAGAGAGAGAGAGA